AAAGTGTGGTGTCAATTTATGCAAGCATAAAAGTTTACGTCAGATTGACGCTAGGGTATCTCCTAGTCGTGCACTCCCTTTCAGTAGGGCACTTTTACAGTATTCTAAAGGATTCATAGAGTATCATCCAAAGTGTGGTGTCGATTTATGCAAGCATAAAAGGTTACGTCAGACTGACGCTAGGGTATCTCGTAGTCGTGCACGCCCTGGCACTCTTACTTGTCTTTCCTGCTGCTGCTGCTTGTCCGCTTATCCGCTGTGGCATCAGCAGCAACATCATCATGATAGATAAGAGCCGAGTTCAGCTGGGTTGAGTTGGAGTTGGACTTTTATGACGTTGTCGCGGATCGCAGGATGGCCACGAAAAAAAATATGCAGAAAACCAGCTGACAGCCAACAATTTTTATTTTTATTTCTCTGCTGCAAACAAGAATTGGCGACCGAAACAGGTTGATTGTAAAATGTCAACGAGGGGCAACAATAACAGCGGGGGGGGGGGGGGAGGGGTTGGTGTTGCACCAATGTAATCCACAACAATCCAATTATTTAGCTGGCGAGAGCTTAAAAGCTAAAAACAACAACAACAAAATTATGGCCAGGCCAGAAATATATATAAAAATACGGTTAACACGGCGACGGTGGCAAACATATGTTTTGATGGTCCGATTAGCGCCACAAAAAAAACGGTATATATATATGTATATATGTTCAGCTTATATCTGTTGATATATATGTTTTTAGCCGTATCTACAAACTGGTCGCGCGTTTCGGTAGCGGTAACATGTGTTTGTGTTTTTTATCAGATGCCTTGTTTTCGGTTTATTGCCATCAAATTCATATGCTGCCACCAAAACGAATTGGTTAAAGCCCAGCTTAGACTGTGGCCAACTGGAGCTAGACTCAAGCGAAGGTCGACAGAGATTGGGGAGAACATGTCTAGAAATTGTAATACATCCGAATAATATATCTAAGCTGGTGCTAAACGAAAAAAGTGAATGGCTGTAAACACAACTGGACTTTAATTCAAATTCTTTTCATTATTATGCAACAAATTATGCATCTATTAGCGGGTATTGCCCGGCCTTGCCCGTGGCACGTTTCGTGATAAGATATTACCTCTCAACTTCTATTTAAAAATATCGCATCGATTAAAGCCCATGGGTAAGCTGGAGAATAACCTTTCGTTTATTAAACCTTTTGACCCGCATTTGCCACCCAAGAACCTATCACATAAATTCTCACAAAGATCTCTGAATATGATTGGTTAGCAAAAAACTCTCAAACAATCGTTTGCCGCCAATTTACCTGAAATACGGATTCATTAAGTTCTTTTGCAGAGCTTTGAAAATAAGTTTAAAGCAAATTGGACAAAACCTAAAACTTCAAAGCAAATCTTAGAATTGCAACTTCCACCGAGAAAGCTTTGATTATGCGAAAAATGTGAAATGCGTCCCAAATGATTTGTTTTCATATAGATCCTTGGAAATGAAGTGCGAAACTCCTCTCAAATGGATTGGAACAAAGATCTTTGAAAATGAGTTTGAGACCGACAAAAAACTTTCATACAAACCAATTTCGCGTTTTTTCCACACTTGCGGGTGGAATTTCCCGAAACCCCTTCATCACATAAGGAACTACAGTGTAAATTTCAGCCTAGCTAGTTTACTTAAAATCATCGATAACTTAAATCGATAAAAATCGATAACAACATGCTTTTCGTTAAGCATATCCTAACCGATTTTCACACATGAAATATCTGATTTTATATAGTTTGTATGTTCTTTTAAAAGAAAATGTGAACGTTTCTCTTCCTAGTTTACTCGCATAGCGAGTTTATTATATATTATCGATAGCTTGAATCGATAAAAATCGATAGCAATATCCTTTTTTTTCAAGCATAGTCTTATAAATTACAAGACTTGGCAGATCAACTTTTGTGTAAATATAATAATAATAATAATAATATAATATAAATGTAGCTAAATAGATTTCTCACCAAATTGTCAAAAATTAAAATCAACGTTTACACTAATATATGCAATTATCGAATGAAACAACATTGAAATAATTTGTGCATAGCAATAACCTTTTGACCTCTTCAAATTAACAGTTAAGCCACTTTTGATTCGTCTAGGTGTATTATTAACTAAAACAAATCAGGTTTCGTTATTTTGAACTTTTAAATTGAAAACTTTGTTGGGGTCGTTTTTGGGGCCGAGGACTATCAGCAAAAAGTAGCTTTTAATTGAAATATATACGTGCCTGTGTGTGCGCGTGTGTGCGTGTGTGTGTCTGTGTGTGTGTGTTGTGTGTTTTTGTGTGTACTTATTTATCAATAATTACATTTGACCTGCTTTGACCGCATAGCTCGAATGTAAATTCTATTGAAAAATGCGAAAACAACAACATATCTGTGGAAATGTTTTTGAAGTTTTCGTTTTTGTGCAACATCAATAAATGAACTTTGATTCGCTTTTGGCAAAAGACTAATTAAATTTAAGTTAATGCGGCGTCTGCCTTAAGTGTATTTAAAACTAGCTAATTTGCAGGCCATTGATGTCACTTAAAGAAAGTTTAAGGCATATACATTTTATACCCTTGCGAAGGGTATTATAATTTTGTCTCGAAATGTGTAACGCATAGAAGGAGACATCTTCGAACCCACAAAGTATATATATTCTTGATCAGTATCAACAGCGGAGTCGATAAAAATATATCCGTCCATCCGTCCGTCTGTTTCTATGCGAACTAGTCTTTCAGTTTTAAAGCTATCGTAATGAAACTTTGCATACGTCATTCTTTTTGTTGCACGCAGTACATATGTCGGAGCCGGCTGGATCGGAGCACTATATCATATAGCTGCCATAGGAACGATCGGAAAAAAATTAGATTCTTGTATGAAAAACTTTTGCGTTTATCAAGATATCTTGACCAAACTCGGCATTTGTAAGTTTTACCATGCTCTTCATATATATGCAAAGTTTTATTAACATCGGACTTCTATATCATATAGCTTCTATAGGAAAGATCGGTCGAAAATTAAGTTATTGTATGGAAAACTTTTTTGTTTATCAAGATATCTGAACAAAACTCGATATTTATTAGTTACAGGATGCTCCTCATATATATGTAAAATCCTATCAACATCGGACCACTATATCATATAGCTGCCATAGGAACGATCGGTCGAAAAGTAGATTCTTCTATGAAACACTTTTTTGTTTTTCAAAGGTATTATATCTTTGGTGTGCATAAGCTATCCCTTCTTTCTCGTTATTTGCCTGAATTAAACAGCAAAACTGAGCCTCAACCTGTTGCTTAGATATTATCAAAATCTTATCATTTAGCTGCAATGCAAGCAAGAGGCTAAAAAGTCCGTTTTGTGACTAAGTTTCTATTCAATTTTCTTGGCAGCTCAAAATTTAAATGTTCTTGCTTGTTTTTTCAATTTTGAAATGAATTATAACTGTTCGTTTTCGATTTAACAACACATGAATTTATTGCACTGATGCGTTCATGATTTTTCATGTGTAGAAACAAACACAGAGAGAGAGAGAGATGGAGAGGGAGAGGGAGGGGGGGAGGGGGGGGGGGTTGGGCGAGATTCGCGTACACCCACAATATTTCCCCATAGAGTTAACGGTGCGTAGGGCATAAATTGTTGGCCTGCGCCCCCTAAAAAAACGCAGCGCGGACGACTTTGTCGACTCGGCGTTGTCATATTTGACATCGGCTCCATAAATCAACAAAGAATGGGGACAGGGGGACAGAGGAGAGAGAGGGGGGAAACTTGCTTTCGATTTGATTGATAATGCCCCGAAGGCAGAACGGGAGGAATGAAACGAAATGAAACATTACGGCGGAATGGATTGTGGATTGTGGAATTGTGTATGACATGACATGGCGGCCCCCAGACCCGAGAGAGTGTGTGTGTGTGTGCGTGTGTGCGTTGCAAGCGGAGCGAAGCGGTTGCGCTGCTTGCCACGCTGTGTGGGGATCAGCTGCATGCAGCATGCAGCATGCCGCATGCTGCATCATCATCCGACTGCGACTGCGTATTTTGAAATATGGAGCGGTAATAAATGTCACAAGAATCATTTGAGAGGAAATACGAGTGACGAGCGTGACTTGCATTCGATTTATGTTGCAAGTCCGGAAAATGCGTGCTGCGTGCTGCATGCTGCATGCTGCTTCTTCTTCTTCTTCTTCGGGCAATGATAAAGTTTTTGATTTACGCAGCGGCAGCGGGCAGGTGTAGCGAAAACTTTGCAACTTGCAACCTGCCGCAGCTTTAATTGCCGTGCCACAACAAATTGTAGGCGTGTGTGTGTGTGAGCTGAAATTTGGCATAATTATAACCTGTTTTCATTTTGTTATTGTTGCTGTTCCACTAATCTCGCGTGTTGCTTGCGGCGCGTGAAATCGCGTTGCACGGCGGCAGCAGCACCCACCCAGGCGCAGAGTTGTCAACCTCAAAAGCAGCTCCGTGATTCTGCCACTGCAAGTTGCAAGTTGCAACTGGCGTTGTCTAGCGTGTTGGCTTTTTGGCGAGGTGAGCGAGCGTTGAAGTCGCGTTCTTGAGAAACCGAACGCGGAATGGGAATGCAAACAGCAGAACACACGCAGGCCCATGCAGCCAGGCGCAGCTCCGCCAACCTGCACAGGTGAACGGGGGAAAGGGGGAGGGGGGGGTTGGGCTGTTGTGGAGCTGTCTTTCGCTGCGGTCGCGGTCTGCTTGTTGCCGTCACCAAGCCAAGCCAAGCCAAGCCAAGGCTTGGGATAGCCTTCGCACAGTGGTGCACAAATGCATATAAAATATTTCATTTGCGTGTTTGGCAATCATTTTCTAGTCAATGTCTTGGCATGCACAGATCGAGGCTTTATCTGATTCGTGACCCCAAGCCAAGCTGCTTCCCAGCCGCGCCAGCTTGAGCTGTTTCCATCACATTAGAGTCAGTCAGCTTTTCGGTTGCGGGATTCGCACTTTAGAAAAAACTTACCTATAATAATCGTTTTTGCAATAAATGTTGCCGTCACGTGAATAACATGTTGATTCCCGTTCCAGCGGCTGGCGACATGCATAACACTGCAAGCAGCTGGCGTGCCAGCGTTTTTCCACAGCGGAGAGGTAGAAACGATCCTGCAAAATCAAAAAATCAAAAACAAAAACAATTAATGATAGATCTACATATGCCTCTGAAATTTAGGAATATTATTTGAGGAATTTTTGGCTTGAAAGTGCAGAAAATTCCTCGATAAATCATTTCTGAGCTAATTATAAAAACTATTTCTTAATAATAAAGATTCCCTTTTATTTATGTTTGTAAACAATATAATTGAGAATCAGCCTCATTTCAATTCGTTTTTTATAACATGTTGATAATTGTAATGCATATAATTATATGCTAATTTATATCCATATATTTTTACAATTATGAGATGCGCTTCTTTGTTCAAGTAATCAAGTTGTTAACATAGAAAAAAAGCGAGAGAAAAACTGGCAAACTTCGAAGTGCCGACGGTTTATGTTTATAATATATTTTCTATACTTTTCGAACGATAGTTCACATGGAAAATTATTACTGAAGCTTATAAGCGAGCAAAGTTGAGATTATTTGAAGACAAAACGAGAAAGAAGAGCTGTATTCAGCACGCCGAAGATTTAATACCCTTGCAAACCAAACTTTTTCATGATGCTTTGCTCGTATCTAAGAAGCACAGGGAAAATAAGATATTCTAAACAACAAAAAATTGATCTATGCAACAACATAATTTTCGACCGATCGTTCCTATGGCAGATATATGATATATTGGTGCGATGTATTAAAAATGTAACTGCCACATAGAAACAGAAACTCAGCTGTTGATACTGATCAAGAATATATATATATATAGAATATATGGGGTCGGAGATGTCTCCTTCAATGCGTTACACATTTCGTGAGAATATTATAATACTCTCTGCAAGGGTATAAAAAAACCCGGTAGTCTTCGACTTGCCGACGGTTTATTTTCATAATACATTTTCTATACTTTTCGACCGATTTTTTACATGGCAAATGCGTTTTTTTATGCGGATAATATGTTGTTCATTGTGAAGCTTATGAGCGAGTAAAGCTAGGATTATTTGAAGAACCAAAAAGTTGTTCTCCATAGAAGCTGTATGATAATGGAAGCCTGATCCTTTCAATTATTATGTTTACAACAAGATTTTCTTTGAAAATGAAAGACTAATCATTCTCTAGAGAAAACTTGAATTGACTTGATTTAAGGTATCTAAAACTTGATGCAATCTTTAAATAAATGCATAAAAGAGACAGTGAATAAGCTACAACAAGCTGCTTTTAAGTTAGACTAAGACTAACTACTCAGCTCCTAGTTAATCGTGCTCCTAGTTTTACCTACTCTACCATCGAAATGGTTTAACTATCTAATATCATATAATGCTCAGCTCACCTGTATTTGTCGGCCGCAGCCGGCGCAATCGTCGGGATTGCGGGTTACTTTGCTATCGTTGGTGGACTCGGGGCTGCTTGGCGGTCCGAAGGGCTCCGTTTTGAATGATATGCCCGATGTGGTCTCGTCGCTGATTTCCGTGCAATCTGTGCGACTGCGGCTGATCGAGAATTTGGCCGCCGAGTCCTCAAATGTAGCGCGATCGGCGGTTTCATAGCTGCACAAAACGCGTGGATTTCAATTCACGTGTGAAAAGTGTGGAGGAAAAAGAGTGGAACTTACCTTCTATATGACTCGCTGCCGTATGCATTGCCAAATGGCTTTGTACTGTGATCACAAATATCGGGACACGAGGATGATGTGGAGCATGTGCGAAACAATGGATGATGATTGTTATTTGCACCTGCAGCACTGCCGCATTGATTGCTCCCTTGATGTGCTACAGGTGGTGTTGGACTTTTCTCCCTTGCGCCGGGCCCAAGAAATCTTGCGCTCTGCTGCTGCAAAAAGAGAAAAAATCCAAAAAATTTATACGTTAATAAGGCAAACTTTTGTGAGGGTTTTCTTTCTTTCGTTTTCGAAATGGAGTCCGTCGCGTCGCGTCGCTTGATTTCCGTCTCAGTCAGCTCTGAAATTTTTCACAAATTCGACTAAATTTCAAAGGATGTGCCCCCAGCAACAAAATGATGCATGAAATTTTCAATGGCGGCGGCAAAAGTTAATTTCAATTAGGCAACAATTTTTTTGCGTGACTTTTCCAAGAAAACGTTGCGCGACATTTAAACAAACTTCGGGGCGCGGCGAGGGGGGAAACCCAGCGACAGATGATGCCACCTCTCCTCCCCCCTTTTTCCCTCCTTCCCCCCTCTCCCCGCTGTTCAGACCCCGCACAGACATTCATTGAAAAAAAAAAGAGGAAAAACTTGAGAAGATGCAAAAACTACGGAGCATATAATACGTGCCACAATATTATTTTTCGAGCACGAAACGAAGCGCAGACATCATGTCGCACATTGCAGCCAGACAAATCATACAGATACAAATATATATATATATATATATGCATATCTGGCGACTCGCTACGTTTCATCGATGCTCCAGTTTACTTATTTTTTGATTAATTAGTCGAAAATAGATTTCAGCTCGGTAACTTAGAAGGATGACAGCTTTTTAACAAAACAAAACTAAATTGAAAACTGAAAACCGAAAAAACTTCTGTTTTTGCTGGCTTTACAACCATTTTGTTGTCGCTGTTCTTCTTCTTCTTCTTGTTGTTGTTGCTGTTGCTGTTGCTGTGTTTGGGCAGACATCGGTTTTACCTTTGGGGGACACGGCAACGCAACATTTCTGGCTGCCATTTTTAGCAGAAAAATATTTCGCCATTTTCTGCTATCCAAAGCCAAACTACACGCATCTAATCCCCAGCTGACATGGCATAACCACATTTTTTTATGGCAACTGCTATTTTTGTGATTTTTTGTTTTTTTATTTGTTTTTTATTTGTGCAACATGATGGCTTGATTTGTAGCCCGCGGCATGCCCAAAAAAGGGGCAGACAAAAAATGCAGCAGCATAAAACACGTAACATCTATTTCTACCTCTTTTTGCTCAACTAATATGAAATATTTGTAGAAAGAAGTTAATCTTAAATCTTACTTATTGTAACAGCTAATAAAAAACAAACTTTTGTTACTCCTCGAAAAATCAATAATATTTAGAAATGAAGCTCTCTAAAAGTTATTAAAGTTTATATTTAGATAGCTGCTACAATTATTGTTTTAAGTTTGTTGCCACTTAAAAGTTTTAAAGTTTTTTTAGCAGTTTTTTGATAAGTTTTTTAAATAATGACAGCAAAAATTGTTGCTAGACATGAGTTAGTTAAGTTTTGAACAAACAGAAAAATATAAACATTATGCCATATTATATTTATTTAATATTTATTGAAAAATCAAAAAGATTTAAAAATGTGGCACTCGAAAAAGTTGTTGTTTTTGTAAAAAATTAACAGCTACAATTATTGGTTTAGTTTCTTTGCTAAAAGTTAGTTTTTTAAGTTTTTTTTATTTGATCTTAAATTATTATTATTGTTATTTGTTTACATTTTTTATAATATTATAGTTTTATTTATTATATTATATTATTTGTTTTTTCAACATTATTATTTTTATATAAAATCTGCACGCTTTTTGGGCAATAATTGAATTTTCTTCGGTAAAACGTAGACAGTTACGTATTACGTGTATCTTTATCTTTATCTTTATGTGTTTTAAGTATAATGGCAAAAATGGTTGCTAGACGTTAGTTACTTTAATATTTGAGCAAAGAGTTATAGAAACTTTATGCCATATTCTATTTATTTAATATTTATTGAGCGTCGGACCATCAAGCGGCAGTTCGCCGGTTCAAATGCAGCAGCTTTGTTATTATTCAAAAAAAAATATACAATAATTCCGCTCGTTTTAGAATATATTTAGTCTAATGAAAAGTCAACCAGCAATCTGATTGCTAACAGAACAAAATTCAAGGGGAAATGCATTATTTATTGTATTTAAAACGGCAAAAACCAAACACAAACCTGTCAAAGGGCTTATTCTAAAAAAAATGTCAGCTATATTTTGCCCCCTTGCAAGTCATGCTGTAAAGTCTGCGGCTAAACCGATTGGGAATTATAAGCGCACATCATGCACAAATTGTTCATGGCTGTCGTCTTTACGTGTCTTTGGTTGTTTCTATCATGACATTTATACATTATGCATGGATAACATTTCATCATTTATGCCATTGCCGCTGCCCTAAAACCTGAACACTTTTTTTCTAGTTTTGCGCAATAACAATGCAATTGAATAGTCTAAAAGGTTGTTCATTAATCGCAAATCAAGTGAAATATGAATAGAAATGTGAATTACAATTGAATATATATCACATATCAAGCTGGTGCATAAATGTTAAATTTTTGGCACGCCTAACATGGCGTATGCTTGATATTTGGCATTTATATAAAATATTGTTAACTGAGCATATAAAAAAGATAGCTGCAAGCTCATCCGAACTGATTGTTGGAATCGCTTCCAGCTATCGATGCATGACAACAACATACACACACTGAGAACTGAAAGGCAATTCATCTGATCTGTTGCGCGTTGTCTCTGCAAGCCAAATGCACAAAAGGGGGTTTTTCTTATCGCTATCAACAAGTGACAAACTGCGCTTGGCTCTGTCTCTGTCTCAGTCTCAGTCTCAGTCGCTGGCAACGTCTGCTCGTCGGCTGGGCAGGAGGAGCGTAGCTTTTGGTCTGGCATTGATAACATTTGTAACCCGAGCCCGAGATAAATCACAAATTAATCAGCGCCCATAGACCTGATGCGCCGCTGCTGCTGCTCACTCAAAAAGTTGATTCGAGAATGTTAAAAATCAGAAATCGAAAACCAGAAAATGTTTCACAAATGTTTAGGTTCTTTTAGCTGCCGATTGTTCCATGTGTTCGAATTTTTAATGGGTATTGGGTACATCTATCGAAATGTTATTGATTGATCAATTGATTGACTTATCGATAAATGGCAAGATTTTCCTGAAGGTTTCAAGCGGTTTATTGGCAGATTTATAAACGACTGCTGGGTATTCGATAAAAGACTTGCGGAGGTCTATTATCGACTATTATAACTTATCGATTTCCAACTTTGTCGATTCTTCTGTTAGGAATATCGTTTTAACGAGTTGTCTAGCATGTTTAGGCACTTTCAGCTACCGATAATTCGATGTGTTGGCAAGTTTAATTGGTATCAATGGGTATTCGGTCATTATCTATCGAAATTTTATTGAAAATCGATCAAGCTGTGATTAATTTGATTGACTTATCAATAAATGGAAAGTTTCGCTTGGAGGCTTAAAGCGATTTAGTGGCAAATTATTCAACTACAGCTGGGTATTCGATTGAAGGCCAGCGAAGGACTATTATCGACTATTATTACTTATCGATTGCCAACTGTATCGAATGCAGGATTATAAAAGTCAATTACTGATTATTATTACTTAACTAACTCCCAAACTCTATCGATTCTTTTGTTAGAAACATCCCTCTATCGAATCTAAAAGGCTTCTCAGCTTTTGTTATCGGTGGGTTAAGGCTTCTTATCAATCAAACGAATTGACTCAAAGTCGATCAGTTTATTAACGGGTTATCGATTGATCTCCCACCTAGATAACCCAATGACATTCGGAGCAAGGGTCAGTTCGTCGTGAGTCTATCGATTTATCGATCTTTTGTTAACCTATCGATCGATGCTTACCCAATGCATCACAGGGCGCTCCTCGGTGCAGACGCCCATGTGCGTCTTTTGGAATGACACGAGGTCTATTTCCAACGATGATGATGTCTGGCTGGTGTATGTTTGTTGTTATTGTTGCTGTTGTTGCTGTTGTTGTTCCTGTTGTCTTTGTTGTTGTTTGTATCCTGATTTTTGTGTTGGTGCAGCGACTGAACGCAAAGGCAAATGCAAAGGCTTTGGTCCAATAATCCAAATGATATTCAATTGTGTTTATGCAACACTTGACACTTTTTCTCTTGCAGTTCTTCTCGTTGTTGTTGTTGTTGTATGCGAAATCTTTTGTGGGCAAGTTTGTTGAACGGGAAAAAAACACTTTGAACATCAATTTTATAGATTGAACATTTCGTGAATGGTTGTCGTCAGCGAAGGAAGCTTTCTTTTTTGTATATAAACATTTATTATTTATTCTCTCTCACTATATATAATTGGCTTTATTAATTTGAATTTCTTCTTCTGATTCTTGCTCAGCATCAAGGTAATTTAAGGAACATTTGGGTTTTACACACACGCGCACACACGCACACACTCGCACACACTCGCACACACACACTTGACTTGATGTGGCGGCAGGTAAAGTTGACGCTTCTGAACCGACACGGACTACGGTTTAACGAGTCTGAGAGACGCCCGACGACGCGGACACCGGTTGCAAATGTCAGTCCCAGAATGTTAAAACCCGAAATTAATTTATGACATTAATTTACGAGACAGCGCGAGAGAATGGCACTCTGTTTAAATTGAGTGGTAGTGGGAAAAAAGGTCCACTTTGGTCCCGCTCAGCCGGTCAGCCGGTCAGCTAGTCAGCCAGTCAGCCCGGTCAGCCTCTATGTGTGTTCCCTACGGCAGCGCCCAGAGATGCGTGGCTACTGATAAAGGCATTAGAGTAGAGGCCCAGAGGCGGATGCGCCTGTTCGGTTTCTGTTTCTGTTTCTGTTTCTGTGTCTGTTTATTGCCGATTGCGTATATTTTGTGTGTTGATAACTAAATGAAGACTTTGACTTTGGCAGCAGCTGCTGTTGATGTTGTGCAAAAAGAGATCAGGCTAACCAAAAAAATCGACGGAACCGACGGCGTGCTGCGTAATCAGGCGAGGTTAGAGGTTACGCCCGCGGCAAACTCAAACGCGAACGGGGGCCGCGCAATATACATATATTTCAATTCAATATTTAGCTAGCTTTTTATTGTTGTTGTTTTGGTTGTTGTTGCTGTTGTTGTTGCATTGAAAAAACAAACGAAAATGCCGAGCGGCGAGCCCGAGCGGTGTCTGTTGTTGTTGGCACGCGTTTTCAAACTGCGGCGACGACTCGAAACTCGAAACTCGACTGCGATTCGATTTGGAAGCATCCGCGCCGACAACCAGTCAGCGTAGCGGCGTATTACTGTGTGCGTTGCGCCCGCAGCGAATTCACAAGCTCAACTCTGAGACGCGCTCTTTACGCTAGCAGCAGCAGCAGCAGCAGCAACAGCAGCAGCAGCAACAGAAGCAACAGCAGCAACCACCATCTCAACTCTATCTATCTCGCTTGCACTTGCACAGCTGTAACAGCAGCTCTCGCTCGCTCGCTCTCTCGCCCTGTCGCAACGCTCTCTCTCGCCGCAGCAAATGGCGGCGCTCTCAGCTGATTTGTGTTTGTATAACTTTCTCGCTCGCACGCGTGCGGCAAGTGACGTTTTGAGGGCGTGGTGTTTGTCGTCGTTGCAGAGTCAGTTATTGACTCGGCTGCCCCCGCCAGTGTTGGAGAGTTTGAGTCGGGGGAGTGGAAAGGGGGGGGGGGGGGCACGATGGCTGGCTGCCAAACATGAATAATGCAACAGCAGCAGAAGAGGCAGCAGCTACAGCAGCTACAGCAGCTACATCAGCAGCAGCGGCGGCGGCGGCGGCGGCGACAACGGCGGTGGCAGCGGTGGCAGCAGCCGCCGATTGTGGCATCACTTGGAGACCCCATGACAGGAATTTTGCGCTCGCTCGCAAAAGATGTTCGCTGCTGGCTGCCTTTGCTACACAAGTAAGAAGACGTCGCTTGTCGTTGTTGTTGTTTTTATTGGGTGCTCCATCTGTGTGTGTGTGTGTGTTGGTGTGTGTGTGAGTGCGTTTGCCTTGGGACTTCTATGGCTGCCCTCCTTCATTCGCCGTTGCTGTAAAAGGCACAGAATACAACAACAACAACAAAAAGTTTTGAAGAAAATCGAGCAGGTCTTATTTATTTAGATTTTTTTCTCTCTGGGCATTTTATGATATTTTTTTTTCTTATTCATTTATTATAACTTCGTCTTCTTTATTTTTTTTTTGGTGGGTTTTTTGCTTTAAAGTTTTTTGTTGCGTTCGCTGTCGATTTCTTTTCTGCTACCTCTTCTGCCGCATTGTTGTTGTTGTTGTTGTTGTTGCTGTTCTTGTTGTTGTTGTATTGCTTTGATGGCTTATAGAACAATTTTGGGGATGGGGGGGAAGCTTAGGGTTTGGGGGCTCTTTTGGCCGTAAGTATCGGATTCGCATTGTCAGCTTTTCTTATTCGGTTTATTTTTCTTCAAAAAATGCGAACACATATATAAACATGTACATATATTGTATTGTACTGTATTGTATATAAGGTAAGCTCTTTATGTATGTGACTTGAAGTGAAATCTTTTAAACATTTGGCAAAGTACGCTGTTAAATGTTTTACATAAGCACGAGTGTTCTTTCGAAAACTTAACGTAGGTAACGCACAATTAACAAGTTAAATAAACTTTACAGCACATTTTACTGGGGCTATAAATTAGAAGAAATGTCCTAAATGTCGGCTATGTGCGGCAGGAGAGGGAGAGGGGGGAGAGAAAGGGGGACAGCATGTGGTGTAAAGTAAGGTAAAGTAAAGTTTAATAATTGCCACTGAGCCTGGTTAATAATAATGTACCTGAATAATGTACTAGGAATATTGACATGAAAAACTCTCTCTTTAAATAAAATTATAACTGTAATGTGACACATAGGAATATATAGGGAAGGGTTCACATTCCGGTTAATATATGTTATACGACAGAAACTAAAGGCATTGTGAATAAAGAAATATCACGAAAAAAAATAAACTAAATATTAAGCAAATTTTAAAGAGCATTTTTTGGGCATAACCACAATGTTGGGGTGAAAATATATCTATTTTAAATTATTTTTTCAAAAATGTGAACATTTCTCGTTTTCAATCTATGTAAAATATTTCATAAATAAGTAACAAGTAACAAGGCCCGCCATGAAAGTCTCTCAAAGAAAAAATGTTTCACTTCGATTTAATTTTTTTTCTTCAAAAAAAAAACGATCAAAAGAGAATTTGACATAACTAATTAATCAGCCGAGTGCTTTTTCTGCTTTTAATTAAGTGCACACTGGAAAACTCAATGAAATGCAGATAAGTATTTGCAATTTTCTTAAGCTTAGGCTGCCCAATATTAGAGTCAAGAACTCGCCAACCCCCCTTCCCCCCTTTCGCCACTCCCATGCGACCAGAATGGAAATGTGAAGCTTTGCAATTATTCAGCGGGGCGAATATGTAGATGTATCTCGATGCAGCCGCTATTCATATTTCCATATGACTACATTCATTTTTTATGCACGGCGAGGTAAAACGAAAAAGAAGGGCTATCTTGGGCATAACGAAGATTTAATACCCTTGCAGAACGAACCTTTTCATAATGCTCGGAATGCTCTGCTCGTATCTAAGAAGCACAGGGAAGATAGTTAATGCCGAGTATGGTTCAAATATCTTGAAAAGCATAAAGTTTTCCTTACAAGTTCTTATTTTCGACCGATCGTTCCTATGGCAGCTATATGATAAAGTAGCCCGATTCAGCTGCGACTACAGACGGATATATCTTTATCGACTCGGCTGTTATACTTTATACTTTATTCGCAGATGTCTACTTGCGAGACAAACTTATAATACCCTCGGCGAGGGTATTTATAAAGGAGAGAAGGATCAATTAAAAGAATTGATAGATGCTCTCAAGTTGACAATGTGATTTTTATGCCACAATGGCGCTGTGTCTCGGGCGGGCTGCCTCCGCCCCTGCCTCCGCCCCTGCCTCCGCCTCTGCTTCAGCTCCTACTGCGAGGATGTGCTGCTGCAGTCGCTGCTTTTGCTGCTTTTGCTGCTTTTGCTGCTGCTGCTGTTGACGTTGTCGTTGGTTGTCGTCGTTTGTTGTTGCTGTCGTTGTCGATGGCTGTCATTGAGTTTCGCATTTCAGAATAAAAATTCAAAAGTGCTGGGCATGTGCAGTCCCTTTCAAAAAGGGGGCCAGGCATATACACCTGCTCTCTCTCTCTGTGTGTGTGTGTGTTAGTGTGTGTGTGAGAGTGTGTGTGGCATGTTTGTACATCAACGCGCATATAACAAATAAACAAACAAAACCAACATATAGTCGAGTGAGCGCCGACTTTTAGCTTGTTGTGTGCGCTGGCAATTGTGAATAACAACAACAACAACAACAACATCAGCAACAACAACAACAACAGCAACAACAACAACAACAACAACTAGCTGCAGCAGCGTTAAACAACAATGTGCTGCAATCTTTTGCAAGTCTTTTTTCCTCTTCTTTTCTTTCAACTGCAACTGCGCTGCCTCGCACTCGTATTTGCTTTTTGCTTTTTATTTTTATTCTTTTATTTTTTTATTTATTTATTTTTCAAGCTCTGTAGTACATTTGCTGCTGCTGCTCGAAAGTGTTGAATGTCTGCGGAAAGTTACAAAGGTGGTGTCGTCGTCGTCGTCGTCGTCCTCCTCCTTCTCGGCGTCGTCTCTATGCCTCTCCTCCCCCTTCTATGTGCCCTGCCCTTGGCCAGCCCCATATATACACAGCCTCAGTTTCAGCCATGGTTGAGCTGTGTGCTGCTTGGCCCGGGCCCGGGGCATGCTCTTCAACATTTTCTGTGCCGTTTTGCAGTACATGAAGTTTGCATTTTTGTTATACCCTACACAGTTGGCGGAGCCGCGGGGATATACGGCTAAAGGGCCATAGGCTTTAAATAGAATGAGTTGCTAGAGATTGTTATTTAGCTACGGGAAGCAAGATAATGAAATCAAAAAAAAAAAAAGACAGCTATCCTCTTATAATTCTCAAGTAGTTTAAGGCAAAATTGAATACATAAGAGCAGAAGAATCCTATATAATGTAAAATATATTACAATATAATCAAATAAAATAATGTAATCATATCTATTAGGTTGTCAAAACAAGCTCTGGTCGAAGTCGAGCTGCTGCTGCTGTAATTCCAGGGTATCGCTCAGTCGTGAACACTCAATCGGAGACGTTTTTTTTTGATTTTGTTGTCGTTTCTTGCGAGGCTTCTGGTATTCATAGGCAGCTTCCTGGCACGTTTTGTATTGGGTGTGGCAGGCGCACCCACTCACACACACACACACTCAAAGACACACTCACACACACACACACACACACACATGCACCTACACCAATACGATGGGCCGCCGAAAAACCGAGACTTGAGTTTTACTTGTCTTTGGCCGTAGAATTTGCCATTTCAACATTTTGTTTTGAATCAGCTGCCACGTTTGGGGCACGTTGCATGCTGCACGTGGTATATATGTATGTATATGTGTGTGCGTTTGTATAAAATATATATTTTCTAAAAGGATTCGAAACGAGGGCTTTGGTTTTGCGTGCAAAGTTTTTGTTGCTGTCGTGTTTTTTTTTCCTTCTCTCTCTGTCTTTCGCTCGCTCTCTTTTTTTTGAGTGCAACGCCAAAGCGCAGCACTTGTGTAACAAGCACACACACACACACACACACACACGTGCGCGCGTCGAGAAGTGGAAACGTAATATCGGATTTTCGTATTTACGTAACTGTGGTTCCTGCACACACACACACACACACACACACACACGTACACAGAGTCGCCTTTGCCGTCGCAGTAGTTTTTGTGTACTTTTGAAACACCAAAAGGTTGCTTTTATAGGGCATGCCCACTCATACACACACACACACACACGCGCACACACGCACGCACACACTTCTAGATACTTGGCCTGGGCTGTGATCCTGCCTCGTGCTGGCACAAAGCAGCAGCAGCAGCAACAGCAAACAAAACAGCAGGCAAAACGCCGCACACACCGCACACTCGAAGTGAAACGTAAACTTTGACAACCCTGCCGCCACAAACCCCAGCCCCTGCCGATGCCCAGCAGCTGGGCGGGGCGGGACGAGGGGCTGTGGCATCAGCTTCAATTCCTTTACA